AAAAAAAAAAAAAACCAAAAAACAAAAAAAAAAAAAAAAAAGAGAAACTCCCAAGCAGACCCTCACAGAAGGAGCATAAAATAGGAGCAACAATTGTAAAAGATTCTGTCTCTTGCCTACTTGGTTTTTCGTTAAATGTTATGCAGGTTCTTTTGGAAATAGGATGAGGATTGAGTTGATTTCACGATTGAATTAAACGAAATGGATGAAGGCATTAAACATTTGATATCTGCTCGAAGGTTGTTAAAAGCTAGTGTAGAGAAATCAAAAGGCTTTGGGATAGTCTACAGGGAAAGCTTGGCCTAGATTCGATGAGATTAATCATAGATTGCCATCTTTGGAAGTTGCAATTTTCCTGCTATGAGCTCAAAGAGATGTCCTCGGTGGCCGGTGCTGTTGGTGGTCACTGGTCACATTGATCGAGCTCTTGTCCCTGCAGGCTGCAGCTGCAGTTCTTAAGGTTTTCAATGCCATTCTTGAAAAATCTTTATCTGATCCTCAATCTGATATCCCAGGGTATCTTGGCTCAAGGAGGCGTCTAGGCTCTTGCGGGAGAATTGTGCGACGGCAATTCAATGGTTGGTCGATATTTTGGAGTATTTAGAGGATCATAAAGAGGCAGATGATAGGTTTGAAAAGGCAGTGAAGTATCTTCAGGAATTGGTGGCTCCGTGACTGGTGAAGAAAATGGTCACCTCAATGCTGTTTCGCTGCCTTTTGACAGAGATCAGTGTTCCATTGCAATGTCCTTGCCGATGTCGGTTGAGGAAGCCTCCATTGCTCCATCACCTTTACCAGTGGCTGCCATACAGAAGCTATAGGCTATTCTCAGGAAATTGATTGCAAATATTCGACTGCTTCCGAGCCAGATTTGACACAATTTTTCATGGAAAAGGCAGGCAATTTACATGATGGGATATGACGGCTAATATGAAGTTCATCCATGGTAGAGTAAATCTGAACTTATAGAAGTACATTTGATTGTGTTTTTTAAAGTGTTTATAAGTTATGAATCTTATGAAATGTATGGATAATATATGAGTATTAAGCTGTGAATTATACTAATGTGTGAACGGAAAAGTACATTTGATCAATTTAAATTATCTAATTTAAGTTTTGTCAAACATGTACTTAAATTCGAGGTCAAATTTTATTAGGTATGGTCAACGTTTTCTAGTTCGTTGCACGAACAGTTACAGCAGGTAGCTCAAGGTCCTAAACTGGGCCCATTGCCCAACCCAAGAATCCCCAATCTCCCATCGTCCAAACTGGAAAAACAGATCCAACGGCTGAAATCCAGTGACTGAAATCCAACAGCAATTCAGCCGTACTTCGTTATTTGCTATGATTTCTTTTTAGTTTTTGGTTTTGTTTGTAACTTTATTAACAATGGAAATTCACCAATGACCACAACTTTATAATTGGTGTCATATTGACCACCAAATTTGATTTTATTTTACCATGATCATCCAACTTTATATTTAGCGTCATAATGGTCATTCAATTTAATTTTATTTCACCACGATCATCCTACTTCATACCCAATGTCGCATTGACCCCCCAACTTGATTATGTTAAATTAAGTTATTGGATGACTTAATTGAAACTAAATCTCTGTTTGTCATCAATTTTATCAAACATTGTTTGCTACAGTAAACAATCTCCATTACATATTCACTCAATAAAATATTCTATACACAAACAAATAAAATTACTTTCCTTTTCAACCACACATTCTTCAAAAAATACTATCAAATTAGGTGACCAACATTACACTAAGTATGAAGTTGGGTAGCCATAGTAAAACAATCAAATTGAGTGACTAATGTGACACAAACACATAGCCATTAGCATATGTCGATTCTTCTCAAAATTCTACGTGTACTTTGGTAAAGCTTTTTGTAGATCAACCTATGAGTTTCGGGTCCCAAGGAATGTGGATGTTAGATCAACCTATAAGTTTCAAAAGACCATACCAAACATACTCCACGTCAAGATAATTCTGGAGCACACGTACGTGCACACAAGAAGAATCCCCAACCTAAAGCAAGTGTTTCATCTAAGCCATTCTATCGTTTGCAAAGAACCAACTTACACCAGAAACTTAAACCACTTCAATTATTTAGAAATCAAAAGCAGTCTTCCAACACGCTATTAACAGGACACTACAAAACAAATGATTATAGAGCAGTGACTGCATAAATTCCAAAGACCAACCCTCCAGAAAGGGAAAAAAAAACATTTTGGAGCAAAAGAGGGAACTAATCATTAAAAAAACAAAGAGAATTTGATTAGATATGTCAATCTAAGAATTTTACATATCATTAGCTGCAGCCTGCATGAAGATCGCAGTGCTGTTGAGTTTCCAGTGGTCCACCCACCATTTGTAAGCCGTTCTTTCCATACATCAGTTTCAGTTAATTCTATTCTGTCCTACAAAGAAACATGATATAAACTTCAATAATGAAGCTAAATGCACAATCCAAATCAGAATATTGAGTTTTAGAAATAAACGTGATATATAAAGTTGCAAAGGTGATACCTCCAGTGTAGTTAAAATTTAATTTCATAAGATAGGTTCCATTTTACAGTAGAATAGAACCTGCAAAGAGACTGCAGAGCATCCAGGCTGCTGCATACCTAATGATCATAGAAGCGCGAACGACGCCTTCGAGAACTGTGAGAAACAATGTATATGGAAATCAGAAAGAAGATGCAAGTGACAGAAAACAATAGGAAAATTACAAATGAGTCTACTAAAATAATGACTTGTTTTGTACCTTGTCATCTAATCCTCTACCTTTTTGCCTAAAGGGTTAACATTCACTATTAATGAACCAGAAATTTGTGCCCAAACTCCCTTACATGGAAATGATCCAGATAAAGACATTTTAACTATTTATTGCTCTATGTTCATGGCATAAATGCATTTCAGGGAAGAAAAGTTAAAAAAGAAACTTGTGCCCAAACTACCTTAAAGACATTACTTTCATTTTTTTGCAATGTTATGCCATCTGCCATATTATAGCGGAAATTGCAGAGCAGGAAAAGGTATGGAGGAGCACATAAATCATTAAATCTCAGTCCTGGCTAAATTGCTCAATTAGGATTTCCTTGGCTTTGTTTATTAAAATCAGGCTCTATTTAGGGTAATGGAATACCATAACTTGGAAGCTCTTCAATTATCAAAAGTGTTAATAATAATATTGATCCTCGAAGGAACAATCTGATTCAATTAAATTAAAGATTTTTAGTTGGTCTGAAAGAATTTAAAGAAAATTTCTCAAATGATCCGAGCTGGAAAGTTATATAATCTAAAGGGTTTACTAATTTGTTGACTGTTGGTGGGTCTCTTTATATGTATTATCTGGAGAGAGGGCTAAATAATCATTCATTTTCCGGAGTTGGAAGTAAAATTTTGGTAGATAGGATCCCAACTTCCCAAGGATAGGATTAGAAGGTGTTTTGGTGTGATTAAGTTTTAATGGTTCTCATATCTCCGCCAATAAATTCATGATTGTGATATCCAAATATAACAAGAAAGAAGCAGTGAAGACGACCACATCAATTATTTGCATTTCTGTGCAAATTCAGAAGATTGGCAAGCTAACATATCAGTAACTTTTAATATATTTATCAAAATATAATAATATTTAACTCAAATAGACATCCCTTCCCCTAAGTTTTGGAATGTTGATTGACAAAGCTATATGTGACCACATTGATATAAATATGAGCCCGTAAATGCCGATTGATATATTAAATTAAAATGCCAACATTAAAGAGACTAGACATTAGATTTTATTTTCATATCCAGGTTATACAAAAGCTTCTCAGCAATCCAATTTCTTTTTAGCATTAACTAATTATCAGCTCAGTTTTAGATATAACCAAAAAAGTTATATCAGAATTATCAGGAGACTTCACTACTCAGAATCACCTACTACAAGCTATTAGTAAAAGATTACAACTATTCTGGTGTGGGTGTTTGTGTTTTGGGAGGAGGTCGTTTTACAGCTTCTGTAGATGGTGCATATGCAACCAACGAAATTAAGAAAGACTTATTAATCCTGGACACGAGAATTAATGATGGCACTTAAAAGAGAAACCTATAAGCACATATACCATATTCACTCACCTGCGTTGATCTGCTCTTCCCCTTGAGAGTCCACTTGCACTCCCGAACTCATCATCAGCCTCATCTGCTATATAATCTGCATATTCTACAGATGTTACAGAACCCTCATCAGAGTTAGAAGTATCATAACTCATACGACGGTTTCCTCTTCTGGAATCACCAACTCTCGATCTTCTTCTGTTTCTAGACATCCTAAAATTTTCAAATACCTGATACAATATGCAAGATGTCCACCAGTTCCCTTCATCCCCAGGAAAGTCATCAAATTCATCACCAGAGTTATCATTCCCATATTCTATCACATAATCACCCAGAACAACCCCACGTGGGACTTCAGAATGGATAGTGCTCAAAACATCTATGATCTCAGAGGATTGCTGGAAATTCTCCCAATCAAGCTGTCGTGCAGGATCGATCTTCGAAGGGCACGCATGAGGATGCTCTAAGTGTGCATGTTTATGAAGTTCCAAGTAGGTGCCCATGAATCCACATTTTTCCTCTTCACAACAACGTTTCTTCTCATCCAAATATATACGAGCATTATGAACAACTACCCATCCAGTAACTTCTCCTCTACACAAGGGACATGCTGGTTTGCTGTCCGACTCCAGATTCAAACAATTAATGCTCTCTACAGAACTTGGTGATTGAGAACCGGATAGCATCCCACTTGCTTGTTTATAACGATCCAGGCAATTTGAATGCAAATGGTCAGTGTCGCACACAAAAGGTCGGCATCCTTTTTCATATGATGAACATTGAAGGAGAACAGCATTGTGAGGAAAGTCCAAGCATATGGGACAAATGACATCATCCCAGTTGGTATACAACTGAACCTCCTCCATTCTAGTAGCGTTTGACGTGAAGCCCTCTTTAACCAAAACTTTGTATGCACACACAGACAAAATTATCTACTTTCGAAAAACGTGACCAGAATCAATATCAGAATAATGAATGATAGACAAGTACATTATCATGCAAAAAGTTCACAATCAGGTTCAGAAACAATCATAACAAGAAAAGAAACTGTGCAGAATGTTACGGGAGACAGAAGCTGACAGCACTCATTTAGCAGAACACTATAATATCGGCCATGAAAATTTAAAGAGAAAAATATCTGCAATGAAATGGCGCAATCTTAGTATATAATGAGATAGAATCAAAGCTCCTACCAACCATAAAAAAGATGAAAAATGTATTTATCATGCATTACATCAGCTCATGAAGGTCCATGTCAAATGAATTTCTCTTACGTAAATACAAACAAAAAGCATGGCCGTCCTTCATGTAAATGTTAGTTGTTAAGGCCTATAATTCTAATGCACCTGATGTATAGAGCTAATTTTACTCCACATATCCTTTATAACAAATTTTTATTATGTAACTCTTGATCGGTCCCACTTTTCCAAATTCATTTAGAAGGATAGATGGTGGTAGAAGAAACGAACAACAAATTTTAGATACATGCCTACGTCCTCAATTAGTCAGAGGAACTGAGGTACAGCAAGGAAAGAGCAAATAATTGAGAAATAAATCAAATTTTGAAAACAAATTTAGCCAAAGTTACATAATCCAGTCATTACCTTTCCCGAAGTTTCTAAGTTAGAACAACATTATTTTCCCTTTAAAAAAAAACTCAAAATCATGTATTAAAGCCTACCATGATTGGCAAAGATGCAAGTTTAGGTGAACTTATATGCATTTTTACCCACATATACTAACAATTTATACCACTTTTACGTTTTGTATTTGGGGAGTTACTTCACTAATACTTGCTTCCCAAAAACTTCTCAAAAATCAGTCTTTTCAGAACTACTATTCTTGTGATTAAAAAAATCTTCAAACTAAAGTGCTTTCACTTCTTCAAATACACAAAGAAATGAGGTCAATAAAATTGGCGGAAATTGGATGTGGGTTGAATCGATTTCCCCATTTTCATAAGCAAAACAGAAGAAGCTCAGAACAGTTCGAAAGTGGCACCCAATCAACCAGCCAAATACATATGCAAAAAGGAATTGGCATTAAAATCACATGATAGCTATAATCAAGCATCAATCAAATCCACTGTTCCCATAATAGAACCAAAAGTCAACCGATCCAAAACCTCCGTATGTTCCCTTGCATACATATATACATAGATATATAGAGGGAGAAGAGAGATGGAGCAAAACCTGGTGAATTAAAGCTTCTGAAAATGGTGAAAAAAGTAAAACATGAGATAATGGGAAGTTTCAAGAATTTGTTTTGCCCTTTTCTTATTCCCATTTGTTTTGTCAACATCGCACGACATATTTGCAAGAAATAAATTAGGGCATGTTTGGAATATGTTAAAAAATTATTAAAAAAAGTTAACGTCAAAATCAATATTATTTTTATCAATTTTTAACCATATATTTATCTGTTTTTATTAAAATTTATTAATTTTTTATCAAAAACTTTGTCAAATAGCGCACACATTTTCTGCTTGGCTTTTGCTTTTTCAAGTCACCTATCATTCATGGGTCATCTCGTAACAAAGGTTAATTTTGGGTCAAGTTGTGCCTTGATTGCATTTTTAAAGTACCTTGACGTGAGATTGAATTGGACGAGTATTTTTATAATTTTCTTGTTTATTTTTACTATTTTATATAAAGAAATAAAAACTCGTAAACTCTTCAAATCAAAGTTAATTATTCTTAAACTAACTACTCGAGTCCTTTTTTTTTTTTTATGATGCAAGAACGACACTATTGTCGATCAAGCATGTAGAATAAGTACATAAAAAAGATTTAGCCGGCTAAATGTTTGATGACTTGATATGAAGTCTACCATTAATCCATGTTTGGTATGGATTATTTAAAACTTCTTTTTTTTTTCTTACTTCGTTTTCAATCACACAAGTGTCCAATAATATAATTTTGCATTTGAACCAAATTTTTTCAATATTTTTTAACTATATATTTTTCAAAAAAACCATTTTACACATAATCCGTTAGGGGTGTAAACGGTCCGATTTTTGCGGTTTTTGACAAATTTTCAAATCAAATCGTTTTGACCGGTTTGAGAAAAGTTCAAACCTAAACCAAACCGTTTTGACCGGTTTGAAAAAAACTCAAACCTAAACCTAACAGTTTGGTCCGGTTTTAAACCGCCGGTTTCGCGTATATTTTTTTCATGTCTAGTATC